CCCACATGGCAGTTAATAACCATCAGTAACTCCAGTTCCAGGGGAATCTGACACCTTCTTCTGACCTCCTCAGGCATTGCATGGCATGGGTGCACTTATATACATGCAGGCAATTCACTCATACACAAAAAATAATGAATAAAATATTTAAGAAAAAAAGAAATGACAGCCCCATACATACATCACTTCAGACTGACAGGCCCCAGAGTGTTGTGTTACAAGCTGAAGAGGTAGCAGAGGGGACCAGGCATACTCCCTTCTGGCCCCAGCTTATCCCTCTCAGTATCATCTTGCAAGCTGTCTCCCTGCCCTGAGCTCTAATGTCTCCATCCACAGTGGAGGTGCTCAGCCTTCCTCTGAAGCTCCAAGGAAAGTTTATAAGACTGGTTCAAGGCAGCAGGGAAACTCCAGGAGTCAGAGACAGGTCATTTCACAGCAGCATCTGCCTCTGGCAGCCCTCCACAGGCCTTTGTACTAGGAGGACACAGAATCCATTTGGCATGTGACCACAACACAACCAGGCAGGGGAATAGACCACAGCATGTTTGGGGGCCCTGGAGAACTGGTCATTCTCAGGTGATGTCTCTAGGAAAGACTTCTGGTGAATGCACTTTTTTTTTTTTGGTCTGCCTGCTTCTGCTTCCCAAAATGCATGTGCCACCACGCCTGTGAATGCACTTTCAAAAGCATAGAAATTGGGACTGAAGTGGATAAAGTGATTGTTGTGCAAGCTTGGGAACCTTTCTTTGGATCCCAAGCACTCACTTATAACAGCCAGGCATGGTTGAGCATGTCCGTAACCCTAGCACTGGGAAAATGGAGACAGGTGAATCCTGGGAGCTTGCTGGCCAGCCAGTCTAGTCAAAACAGCTGCAAGTTCAGTGAGCATTTTAGTTACTTTTTCTGTTGCTGTGAAACCACCAAAAGCAACTTGGGGAGGACAGGGTTTATTTTCTCTTACAACTCATAGGTTCTGGGCTATCACTGAGGAAAGTCAGGGCCAGAACTCAAGACAGGAGGAACCTGGAGGCTGGAACTGAAGCAGAGACCTTGGAGGAATGCTGCTTACCTGCAAACAGGTGGGAGCTTGGGGACTAAGCCGTGGTTGCCTCCTTCCTGTGGAAAGGAAGCTAGGAAGGAGCTATTCAAAGCCACACACCTGCTTAACTATCTGTTGGAGGGGAATAATAAATTTGGAGGCTGTCATAAAATTAAGGCAACATGTGTATACATCTGGTATGTTATAAATCTTTGAGTCACATTAGCATTATTCCCTCTAAAATGACAACTGGACAGAGCAAAGCTAACCACACAAAACTCTTTCATGGAGCTTCTTTCTTGAGTTCTGCAGATTTGCTCACATCAGCACCTCTAGCCCCTTCTCTGACACATTCGAATGGCTCAGAGAGTCAGTGCATTTTCATGTGGTCACACAGCTGTGGACTTTACCCTGGTTGCTGCCCCATACTGCCTCCCAAAGTGTGGTCCCCACTTTAAAAAATTTTTACTTACTACTTTTATTTTATGTGTATGAGAGTGTTGCCTGCATGTATGTAAATACACCAATGTCATGCAATGCCCATGGAGATCAAAAGAGGGCATTGGATCCCCTGGAACTGGAGTTACAGATAGTTGTTAGCCGCCATGCAGGTGTTGGGAATCCAACCTAGGTCCTCTGCAAGAGCAGTCAGTCCTCTTAACCACTGAGCCATCTCTCCAGCCCCGTGGTGCTCAGTTTTGTCAGGCTAACATGGCATTGCCCTATGACCCAAATCTTTCACTGAGTGCTTGCTGACACTGAAATCCCCTCTACCCCCAGGTCTCTCTGGGTAGAAAAACTACGTGTCCTGTTTTCTTTTCTTTCACAGAATCCAGAGTGTGTTGTTCACTTGCTCGGTAGCAAGGGTAAACCAGACTTGGCAAGTTCAGGACCCAGCACTTCCGAGTGCACCATTGCCCAAGAAGTGTCTAGGAGGTAGAGGCATTTTGGGGTGTTATGAAAACTTCATGAAGGATGGGGTTATGACAGCAGGAAGTGCCCTGAGTCAGGCGCAAGGGCATAAAGCCTGGGGCCACCCAGGCTAGTGGGGCAGGAGTCAGCAGACAGAGAAGCAAGAGCCCACTTTGCTGTGTCTTGATCAGCACCCTGTCCTTCTGCAGAGCCAATGGAATTGTACCATGTCTGGGTCACCTCTGGGTAAGAACAGGTCTTTGTGAGGCTATAAGATGACAGAGCAAGTAAAGCTAAGTCTGCCTGGTCCTTTGGCGTCCATCCAAATGGTACCTTCATTAATACTACCTGCTTCTACAGAAGATAGTGGGAGAGCCCAGGAAGGAGAGGAAAGAAGGGTGAGGTTTTCACCTCTCTATCAGTCAGTGCAGGCTGTGTACCACCACACAAGAAACCTAAGAAACACCATTCTTCATCGTTCTGGAAGCTGGAAATCCGAGTTGGAGCCAGCACATGGTTGGGTTCTGGGGAGGTCCTCTTCTTGACTTGCAGACTGCTGACTTCTTTAGCATCTTGTAGTACAGAGAGAGCAAATAGCAAGCTCTGCTGCCTCTTTAAGGGCACTAATGCCATAACAGAGCCCCATCATCATGACCTCATCTAAGCCTACAGAGTTCTCAGAGGCTACCATCCAAATATCATCATCCTGAGGGTGGGGATTTCAGCCTGCATTTGAGGGAGCAGTTCAGGACTGGTGAAAGGGAGGTGGAAGATGAGGTGGTAGGCTGATACCATTGGTGTCTATGAGGAGTGTGGGCCTCAAACAATCAGGGTCCTGGGCTGGTCCAGGGTGAGTGTGACTGAAGTGTGTGGACTGAAGTGGCGTGATGTGAGTCAGGGTGGGAAGGAGAATACACTGAGCTGTGGAAAGCCAGCTCAGTCCTCACTGTGGGGTCATCAAAGAGGGAGGAAGGGCTGAGCCCAAACTGGAGCAGGGCTGGAGCATTACTCTGAAGAGGACGATAGAAGAGGATGGCTGCCATCCATATTTTTCCCTTCCCCTGCCCATGACATTTAACCTTGGGACATTGTTCTACTCAGAGGCTTTTATTAGTCTGGGGACCCTGTTTGCTGCCTGTTATCCTTTAAGGCAAGATCTACCTCTACTTTGCAGTTGAAGAAACTGAGGCAGGGTCACATCTCACAACTACTTTCAGGGAAAGAAATGAAACTGAGCCCAGTGCCTTCCCTCCAGTGTCCACCCAACATGACCACCATCATCCTCAGATCTCTCAGTTCTCTGTCCCGTCCTGGGAAGTAGCATGAAGAACATTCTCCATGTGGCTAAGAAATGGAGTAAATGACACAACAAAGTCCACTTAGGGTCCCAGAGCCTGCCCGGGGGGAGGAAGCTCATGAGGCCTAGTATTCTGGGTGCCAGGAGAGTGACCTCTATTGCCACTTGCCAGCTACAGATGCACACCCATGCTCGATTTGGAGATGCCCAGCTCATAGAAGGGTAGGTTCCGGAAGGGGCCCAAGGGTCTGGGCAGTAAAGGGCCTCTTGGCCGTTCCGCATTGGTGATAAGGCAGTTTCATCCCCTCCTGTTTGCCCCCAACCCTGCCTGTAGTCCCTTCCTCTGATTCTTCCCACCAGCCCCATCTCACCTCAGAGGAAATGTCCTGTTAGCATACTATATAATACAGACTGTCGGGATCTAATTTAGCCCCTGTGACTGTTAAAAGGATGACCCAACTCTGAAACCTAGCTGCTGAGAGGTGGCCCAGGGACCTATAGACTGGGCCCCCAGGAACTTGAGGGAAGTACAGAACCCCAGGCCCAGCATATGGTGCTGTGTCAGCTCCCCACCACATCTGAGAGTGTTGCTCTGAGCAGGGTTAAGGGCCACATGTGCCTGGCAGGTCCTATTCAGTGATCCTAAATGATGCCCTTTCTGGTTACCTGGGAGAGGATTTTGGTCATAAACTTGTGACCAGCATGCCTCTTAAACCAGGTTTTCAAGACCATAGAGATAGCAGCTCCCTCCCCACCCCACCATCTTCCCTTTACAATGTCCTTTTCTCCTCTGGTCATGGCGAGGGTGGAAGTAGATTGAGGGTGGAGGTAGACAGAGCCTGATGCAGTTAGCACAGATTCTTGGTCTGATATTTCCTCTGGTACTTCTGTTTCCTATGGAGATTCTGAATCCTATGGAGTCTCTAAGGAGACATCTATAGACAGGGATGAGGACTGGGACACCAACCACATCCCTTCATGGTCTGTGTGCAGTCTGCCTGCTCCACCCACCCTGAGAAGCAGCCCCTTGGAACTAGTCAGCTAGTCAGCCTTGTGGCAGGTAGGGTACTCCGTGTTACAGGGAAGGATCCCCCAGAAAAAACTGAAGCCTACCGTGGGAGTCTGTCCTTCGTTGCCCCAGTGGAAGGACTGGCAAATCTATTAATAAGCCTGTCTCACTTACAGCTGCCATGAGCAGACACTGTGGGCCTACAGCTGTGTGAGATAAATCATTCATGCAACAGGTCTAATTGATATCCGTACTCCAGATTAGTATAAAGATGTAAGGTCACTTTCACAAGGTCACACAATGGCAGGAGTGAGGACACATACTTAATAATAAGGCTTAGATACCTGCCAAATTTCAGTTGCTTTTTGTTCCAATTCTTGAGGATAGGCTTGAAATGTAAGCAAGCATCTTATGCCCAAGGCTGTTTGGTCAAGCCCTCTTCCTGTATGGAAATACTGGTCCTTCCTCTTTCACACAAGTTGAGAATTGTTGGGAGGGCCCTTGATGGCCTTTTCTGCAGGTTGATCTGCTGCCTGGTCTCTTCTGGCGATAGCCGGTTATACAGAAGAATTTGGAAGGCTACACAGGGCAGGTTATCCCATAACTCACCATCAGTGACCATGTCTTATGGGTGGCACCATCTTAAGTGAGGTTTCCCCTGCACACCTGGCCACAGAGGTCTGTAGAAAGAGGCTTGGGATTGCTGGACCCTAACCTGATGGCATGTCTGCTACTTCCCACAGCCGTCTTCCCCTGCAAGATCCTCAAGTGCAACTCTGAGTTCTGGAGTGCCACATCAGGCAGCCACGCCCCTGCCGCTGACGACGTGCCGGAGTTCTGCGCTGCCTTGCGCACCTACGCCCTGTGCACACGGCGGACAGCCCGCACCTGCCGGGGCGACCTGGCTTACCACTCGGCTGTCCATGGCATAGAGGACCTCATGAGCCAGCACAACTGCTCCAAGGATGGCCCCACCTCGCAGCCTCGCCTGCGCACGCTCCCTCCGGCCGGGGATAGCCAGGAGCGCTCGGACAGCCCCGAGATCTGCCACTACGAGAAGAGCTTCCACAAGCACACGGCTGCCCCCAACTACACACACTGCGGCCTCTTTGGGGACCCGCACCTCAGGACTTTCACAGATCGCTTCCAGACCTGCAAGGTGCAGGGTGCCTGGCCCCTCATCGACAACAATTACCTAAACGTGCAAGTCACCAATACACCTGTGCTGCCCGGTTCTGCCGCCACTGCCACCAGCAAGGTAAGGGGATTGGGGAGCCTGGGCCAGACCAGCAGGATCGCAGGACTTAGGCCCTGTTGTTACCAGGATCCAGGCAGCCTCCAGAACCACCAGATTCTTATTGTCTGTAAAGGGGCAAATGATTTAGAAAAGGATGTTCTACAGAGTCTTTCTCATAAGATAAACCAGCCAAGAACCATGTCTATATTTTGCCTGGAGTGTGATATTTCTGTCTCTGAGGGGGTTGTGAAATATCTGTTCTAGTGTCAGAAATCAGCCTGTAATAGACATAGGTTTGATTTTTAATCAGGGAACAAGAATAGCCTAGCATAGCACAGATAGAAAACATTTGTGAATGAATAGGATATGGTAAGGATAAACGTTTGAGAAACAGCTTCTGATATGTGTGCCTGTAAATGTACAAAAGTACAGCACAGGAGGGGATGTAAAATGGATTTCCCACTAGCATTATGGTAAAGGAAAAAAAAACCAAGGAATTGGAAAAATGACTCAATTAGTAAAGTGCTTGTCACTCAAACATGAGGACCTGAGTTTAGATTTAGAAAGCTGGGCACAGGGTACGCACCTGTGATGTCAGTGCTGGGAAGGTAGAGACAGGAAAATCTCTGGAGTCCACTGGCCAGCCAATCTAGCTGAATTGGTGAGCACCAGGTTCAGCAAGAGACTTGGACTCAAAAAATAAGGTGGAGAAGTAATTGAGGAAGACACCTGATACCAACATCTGCTCCCCAACATGCGCCTACACCACACACAAAGTTCAGAAATAGTCCCAAAGCACTTACTCTCAAGGCTTCGGAATACTCTTGCCCTCAAACTGTATCTTGTTGGAAACATGTTAGAACCTGATCAAAGCCAGGGATGGTGGTGCATACCTCTTGTCCCAGCACTCGGAGGCAGAGGCAGTTGGATATCTGTGAGTTCGAGGCCAGCCTAGTCTACATAGTGAGTTCCAGGCCGGCTGGGGGCTAAAAAAACAAAAAAACAAACAAACAAACAAAAAACAACCTGAACCTGATCAAAGGAAGAGTCTGTGGTCAGTGTGTTTTCTCTGATGGAGCGGTGCTACACTGGACCAGCAGCCTTGCCTCTGCAAGGCCACAGTCCTGTGCAGGCATTTGCCCTGTGGCTGAATCTATAAATGCCACTGCCTATAGAAGATGGTGCTGCTGCTCTCTGCCCCCCTCCCTACCCCCAGGTTTTACACACTACTCCTGGCTAGTTTGACTACTGTGTATCTGGGGTGGGGCTGCACATAGGTTATTTTTTAAAACCCTCAATGGTTGTTAGAAATGTAGCTCAGTTATTAGAGTGCTTACTTAGCATGCATGAAGCCCTGAGTTCTGTCCCTAGCATTACTGGATATTGTGGCACATGCCTGTAATTCCAGTATGTGGAAGTAGAACAGGAGAATCATTAGTTCAAGGTCATCCCTGGCTACATAGTGAGTTTGAGAACAGCCTGGACTACATGAGACCCTGTCTCTGAAAGCCAAATAAATCCCTTAGCTAGGACTGTAAGATAGGATATAGGGACAGCCAAGATTGCTGAGTAGAAGTCCTGCCCTGTGTCTCCTTGCCTCACCTAGACACTGAGAGGTAGAGAGGACCGTGGGCATCTGGGATGGAGAAAGATAGAATGGAATGACGATAAAGAACCAGCTTTACTGAGTACCCCAGGAGCTCCTAGGTCACCTCGCTCCTCCTCCTTGGGATTAGCCCTTTCTGGTTAGTATAGCTCCTTTTGACAGAACAGGAGGCAGAGGGATCTCCCTACCCAAAATGCAGTTGGTGGGAAACCTTAACCTAGAATTTGGCCTCAGCCAGGGCAACTCTGGAGTCTGGCATGTTCTCTACACAGTCAGTTGAGGGCCACTCATTTTGTCACCGAAGGGGTGGTGGCAGGTGGCAGGTCTCAACTCCTGCTCACACAGCCAGTCGGAGGCAGCTGGACACGTGGTCCATGTCCTAGGAAAGGGGATTCCTATCCATTACAGACTCTCCCTCCCCTGCTCACTGTGGGGAGGGTCTCCAGTCACCTCAGGCTTGCCAGGAGATAAGGCATCAAGGCCATGACACAGTGCTGTCAGACAGTGGGGACATGTCTGCCCTCCTCAGTAGCTGGACCCCATGGATCTTCCAGGCTGGCTAAGAGACAGTGGGTCTATTTCCCCAGGAGCAGTGTGTTGGAAGACCCCATGTTGGGCAGTGCCAGGCCAGCCCACAAGGGCATTTCTGTTCCTTCCCTCTCCGCCACACCCCAGAAGAGATCAGTGAGGTGACCCAACAGCCAGGAAAATGCTCCATCCCTGCCACTTCCTTCTGCCCCGGTGGCCCTGGCTTATCCAAGTTCTCTTTCTTGGCTGTCCTGCTACATAGGAAATAAGAGGTCTTTGCCCATGAGCGCACTCCCAGGCCCTTAGCGCCAGATCATGACAGCTAGTGGGCAACAGATTTGTGGCCAGAGCACTCTTCTCCCTGTCCCCCTCCCAGCCCTCAAGCAGACTTAAGGGTGTCCCAGGCAAGGATCCAGTCACCTTCTCTACAGTCCCACAGGGGCTTACTACTCTGCCTCTCCAGAGCCAAGATAAATGAATGCTGGGCTCCTGACACTGTGGCTTTTAAATGAAGTAACAAACATAGCTCGGGAAGAGACCCAGTCTTCCTGCCCTATGCTTCAGGCCCCTGAGGGCTGGCAGTTGAGCACATAGGGAGGAGACCTGAGCATATGAAAGGATGCCTACCCCAAGTAAATGTGACAGCAGAGTCCAACTGTAGAGCTGTGTGTGATCAGGGAAGTTGGAACATGGCCTCTGCTACCTTGGCAGTGTACTGTGAGGTAACATGCCAGGGCTTAGACCCTCTGGACACTCCTTCAGCTATCAGCTAAGGCACACCCAGATCTCAGCACAGCAGTGCTATCTGCAAACCACATGGGTTAAATTTTCATTCGATTTTGTGTTTCTTTCAGTCCCTCCACCCATCTTTCAGATGTCTGCTCTAATCCTGACTGATTAATGCCAGGCTCTGGGCACCTCAGAACTGCCTGAGCAGGAATAGGAGGCCCTTCCCACCCAGGTCAGCCTGAAGGTTTCCAGAAGGGTATGGGGTTGTCTGGCAGAGTTTTGCCAGCCTGGCCCTTCCTCTGTGACCTAGCCACCTTTGATCTCAGTGGGCAGAGAGCTCTCAGGCCCCATCAGCCTGGCTCTGCTAGACACTAGTGACAGCATCTACACCTGTGGCCAAACCAAACTCAAAACTCAAACCAGACTGGGAGCCCTGTAGTCCCCAGATGAACTGCCTCAGTGGCTGATTTCCAGGGCTCAGACACTCTCCTGTGCTTTGAACCTCCGAGGCCCCCCAGGTATCTGCATGCTCTCTGATTTAGCAATGTGGATTCTTCCTTCATGCCAGCCTGAGTGCTGAGCTGCCCTCCCTGCACGTAGCTCAAGGGCCCTGGGAACTAGGAGGCCCTGCCACTGAGGTGGCCCAAAATGACAGTGAGCATTGCTAGTGACGGAACAAGGAGGATTGGTGCCTTGAGAGAAGCAAGGGCTGTGAGGGGCTTTCATCACCAAGGTGGCAGGGCCTTTTTTCACCTCCTCCCACCTGACCCCAGACTCTAACTCCAGTAGCCCCTCTCCTGGCTTCTCAGAGCCTGCCCAGTCCCCACCTGGCCCTTACTCTAACCTCACAACCTCTAGCCTTGCCCACCCTCTGTTGCAGAAGCTCATATGCAAGAAGCCTGGCCCCAAACATACAGGGCCTCTTCCAGGGCCTTTACTCATTCCCAGAGCACAGCCGTTATCACTCCTCTACACGTGCAGCCAAGACTGAGTGTTCTCTAGTCAGGCAGTCAGTTCCTACTCCATTTCCCTTCTCCCAGCTCTGCTGTTTATGCCCACTTTACAGGCAAAGAAACTGAGGCTTGGAGGACAAGAACTGGACTCTTTGTCTCCTCCTCCCTCTTCACCCTTGTTAGTTTTCCCCCTAATACTCACCAACCTGTTGCACTGCAAATTCATCTACTTGGTCAGTGACCTGCAGAGATTTTGAAATCTTGCTCTTTTCTGTATCCCAGCCCTTAGCTTCATACTGTGTGTGTGTGTGTGTGTGTGTGTGTGTGTGTGTGTGTGTGTGTGGCACCAAGAGGCCTGAGGGCCCCTTTGGGAAGAAGGACAGCAAAGGCAGAGAGGCAGCCGTCCATGGTGGGTTGGCAACAGGCCGCCAGGCTTTCGACAGGCCCCCTTCATGCTGTTACTTGCGGTTGCGTCCCTGGCACCAGTGCCAAGGAGTCAGGCAGCCTGTCAGCCTTCCAAGAAGCTGTCTCCATGAGAGATGGCAGTTCGAGCCAAACCAGCCTTTCCTGTTCCGGGGAGACTGATGGCACTTAGAAAGCAGGAGCCCCCTTCCCCATGTCTGTGTGACCTTGTATACCAGACAAGGACAGCAGAACCCCTCACCTTGGCCTTCCTCCAGTGGCAGGACCACCCACACCCAGGACCACCCTGCTGGCCCACCTCTAACCCTGCAGGCACCGCCATATCACTGTGGGCAAGCTGTTGGCTGTGAGGCTGAATCGTATGAAGTTGCTGTTTTCATAGGTCAGGGACTGGAGAATAAGAGAATAGCTGCGGTTTCCTGGAGTCCAAGGCTTAGAACTCTGTGCAGCAGGGATAGGCTTCATTCAACCACCTGTGACAACCCAGTGCATACTGAAAATGTGAGCCCCAGGGAGGGAAACAGGAAATAGAATCCCATGCTCTGGGAACTATGTGGGGAGCTATATGGCGAGGGTCTCCTGAGCTCACCTTCTGGGACTCAGACCTCCTCATCCTTGCCCTCACAGAGCTTCAGAATGGAGCCATCAAGGTACACAGTACCCAGGACCACACGGCTGTGGGAAGATACTCATTTCTTTTAAAAGTCAGAAGGAAGGCCAGGTGTGGTGGCGCACGCCTTTGATCCCAGCACTAAGGAGGCAGAGACAGGTGAATCTGTGAGTTCGAGGCCAGCCTGGTCTACATAGTGAGTTCCAGGCCAGCTGGGGCCACAGGGACCCCCTGTCTCAAAAATACCAAAAAAAAAAAAAGTCAGAAGGAAAACATGAATATGACCCAGCCCAGACTGTATTAATTTTTATATTATTGGAACCTGAAAGTGCTGAGGGGGGTTGTTTTGTTTTGTTTTTATTTCTATGGAGGAAGGGGTTCTAAAGGGAAGGGCAGGGTGCCCTAGCCCCTAAGAGTCGCATGCAGTCTGTCCCTTGCAGAGGCCCTCCCCTGCAACCTGCCTATAGAACAGTGAGAAGAGAAAGTCCCAGGGCTTCTCAGTTCCCAGGCTTCCTGGAAGCCACCACCTGCTGCCTGATCACCTCTAACCTTACACCGGCATGGGGGATCCACAGAACAAGGATAATGCTGAGCAGAGGGGACACCTCCACTGGCCCTGACCACCATGATGGCCTGCTTAGCCTGAGGCATGCAGCAACCTCTAGGCCCCACTTCCCAGGCCTCTGACTTCCCTCCCTTCAGCCTCCTAGGCACTTTCCAGCTGTGGCCAGCCACCTGGCACTGTAGCCAAACATCCCTGGTGAATGCCACGGTCCCCACACTTGGCCTTCCTGGCCTGCCTGTCTGGGACTCTGAGTACTGGCTTCTCCTGGTTGCCATCCCCATCCAAGCTACTGTTTTCCTTCTCTGGTTTCTGGTCCTTGTCTTATACCTGCTAGGCCAGAAACTCTCTTAAAACTTTGAACATTACCCTTGACCCATAAGCCTCTTAGGTTGTCACCATGGCCCCCTCCACTACCACACCTCCAGAGCATCCAGCCTCTTCAGCTAGGCCCCGTGCCGGCAGCCCACTTCCCCTTCTGGGCCTCTTAAACCGGCAGATTCTCTGAGGTAGAGAGTGGGGATACTATATACCCGGAGCCCTATCATCCCATCTTCCAGCTGTCCAGTCTCTCTCACTCTCCTCTCTCACTCTCCTCTCTCTCTCTCTCACTCTCTTTTTCTGTGAGCTTTGCTCTACAGAAAGGATAGTGGTACCTAGGCCTGGGAAAGGACAGTACAAGCGTTGAAGGGAGGGTGGTGGTAGGAAGCTCCAGAGGTTCTGGGTGCCACCTCTCCCCATATGCCCCCCTCCCTTCCTGGCTGCTTTGGGCTGGATTTCCAGGCTCCAGCTGCACTCCAGAGCTTCTTCTGGCAAAACAGCTGGGTCCTGGAGAGCAGTGAAGGCCCAAGAGGGGGTGCTTTTTCCTGTATCACTCTTTCTCCAGCCTGGCATCCTTTCTGGCTAGGCTCACGGCGGAAAGAATGGCCAGACACCTCATGCAGTATGACAGGAGAAAAGTCACATTACATTCACCCTCTTCCCAAGCTGTCCAGCATCCTATTCTACAGGCTAGTTGCCATATGATCCCAGAGGCTGGAAACCCAAAACTTGTCTCATTTCTGCCCCTTGTGGCAATGTGACCTTGGGCAAGTTACTGCACCTCTGTGAAAAACCCCGGGTGTCACCTGCTCTTCCAGTGCAAGAGGAGACTAGGAGTAATAAATGCAGTGCTTGGCATGTATGTGCAGCTAGTATGGTTGTGTCTGTGGCTCTAAGGAGGACAGGTACTACAGGGCCTGCTCAGCCCTCTGCCTCCCTGAAGCAACTCAGCCCAGCCCTTCACCTGTAGGGATGGGCTCGATTTGAAATGGTCTTCCTGCTCTGGCCCAGATGGGGCTATACCTGTAACCTGAAGCCTCTGGTTCTCTTTGGTTGGTGAGGAGCACCTTGATTCTTTCCCTCTTCCTCCTACTACCCAGCTTGGTGTGACCCCTGAAGCCGCTTTGAGGCCATGGCATCTGGTCTCCTGCTTGATGGATATTTCCCACTCATCTCTCTTTGAGCATCATAATCTTCCATTCCACTTGCTGGTAGGCTCCATCTCCAGCAGCAATTGCACTGTAAGTGCTGTTGGCACCTTGCAGGATAGTCAGTAGGGCTGGTCTTTCCAGGCTTCCCACCCTCTAGTAGCGTGGGCATCCCCTGGTTCATGGCAGCATCACTCTGGTCTCCGCTTCCCTGGTCACTATACCTTTCTCTCCTGGCTCTGTTGCACTCAGCCTCCCTCTTCTGTAGACACTTGTGATCTGGGCCCACCCACATAATTCAGGATATCTCTATCTCACTATCCTTAACCCAGCTGTATCCACCAAGCCCCTTTGCTATATAAGGTAGTGCTCATGTGTTACAGTGGATTGGGGCTTCAAGGTTTGGGAGTCTGTTTTTAACCTGACCATAGTGGACCAAGAACCTTTTGTTTTATTTATTTATTTATTTTGGTCTTTTTGAGACAGGGTCTCACTGTAGCTCTAGCTAGCCTGGAATTCACTATGTAGACCAGGCTGGCCTTGGTCTCACAGAGATCCACCTGCCTCTGTCTCCCAAAGGCTGGGATTAAAGCTACCATACCCAGCTAGGGCCTTTTATTTTTAATTGGCTGTGCTTTTATCTTTACAGTTCACTTCCCACTACAGCTATCGAATGAGCTGATTTTCTAGTTATGGTAGTGATCTAAAGTTTTTCTAAGTAAAAACAAACAATGCTAGCTGTAAGTAAATATTAAGCATATAACAGTGCAGTTGGTATTGAGCTGTGACCACCATGGGGAAGGGAGTGTCCTTGGCCAACATGGGGAAGGGAGGGTCCTTGGCCACCATAGGAAGAAAAAAAGGCCCTTAACCACCATAGGGAAGGGAGGATCCACAGCATCCCAGTCCCTCCTCAAAGGCCAGAGCATCTCCCCACATCCTGACTCACTTTCCTCTGTCTCCTTTTCTCTAGCTCACCATCATCTTTAAGAACTTCCAGGAGTGTGTGGACCAGAAAGTATACCAAGCTGAGATGGATGAACTCCCAGCTGCATTTGCTGATGGCTCTAAGAATGGTGGAGATAAACATGGGGCCAACAGCCTGAAGATCACAGAGAAGGTATCTGGCCAGCATGTGGAGATCCAGGCCAAGTACATCGGCACCACCATTGTGGTACGCCAGGTGGGCCGCTACCTAACCTTCGCAGTCCGCATGCCTGAGGAGGTGGTCAATGCTGTGGAGGACCGTGACAGCCAGGGCCTCTACCTCTGCCTACGGGGCTGCCCACTCAACCAGCAGATCGACTTCCAGGCCTTCCGAGCCAATGCTGAGGGCCCTCGCAGGCCAGCAGCTGCCAGTCCCTCTCCTGTGGTCCCTGAGACGTTCCCATATGAGACAGCTGTGGCCAAGTGCAAGGAGAAACTGCCCGTGGAGGACCTGTACTATCAGGCCTGTGTCTTTGACCTCCTTACCACTGGCGATGTGAACTTCACACTGGCCGCTTATTACGCCTTGGAGGATGGCAAGATGCTCCACTCCAACAAAGACAAACTACACCTGTTTGAAAGAACTCGGGAACTACCAGGTGCGGTGGCCATGGCAGCACTGCCCCTAACCCCCCAGCTGTTCATTGGTACCCTCACACTCCTGGCCCTGCTGCCTGTGTTCTGGTAGACACTTGCCACATAGGATGCAGAGGGAGATGCAGACTCTGCCCAAGCCTTACCCCTGGCATCTCCTTCACCTGAGGACCCAAGTCACCATCAGGATACAGCCCAGCAGGTGGGCTCCCTATAGCCCAGTGGTCTCTGCACTGATTAGCAGAAGAGGTGGCCTCTGGCTGGTTGCCTGTGCAGAGTTCCCTCAAAGCCATCCTCAAATATCTTGGCCAGGGCTCAGGGCCTGGGACAGCCCTCCCCTCTCTCTAGTGCACGTGACAAGGTTGTGGTGATTGGTGCTGTGATGTTTGTGACAGTAGAGTTGTGTGAGAGGGAGACCAGCTCCCTCCACCCTGACCCCACTGTGTGAATGTGCAAACCAGAGTCCCCTAAGCTGAAGCCCCACCCCCACCACCAGAGAGACACTGGGAAAGTCGGCTCCTTCCATTCCCTACCAATGCACTGAGACAGGCCCGGCTGACTGCTGCACACCCATTCATGGGGCCTCTTGCGCCCACCCACACGCACACACACTCTTACACAAGCACACTCGCACACACTAAGCCCGTGGGGACAACCCAGCCAAGCACTGTGTCAGTAGGGCTCAGGCATCTGCAAGGCTCCTTTCCCAGGCAGGGCCTCCTTAACAGTAGGACACTCCCAGAGGACACACTACTCCACATCTTTAGCAAATGGATGTAACCTTGGAGCCACTAGGCTGTGCCCTCCTGATACCTTCCCACCCAGTGCTACCCTGGTGCTAGGCAGAGATTGCCCTGTGCATCCAGCTGCTGTAGACGTGAGTTAAAGGCGCCATTCCTAGGCACCTCCCTGGAGAGTCCCACAGTTGAAGGGAGGATGTCTTTTGATACAGTGTCTAAACAATGCCACTCATGGACTCCAATACCTGTCTCTGGCTCTACCCTCCGCCCCATTTCCCACTGTACTTAGGAAATCAAAGGAAATCAAAGTGCTTCATTCTAAATGTCTCAACAGAGAAGTAATCCTCTGGCTTCTGTTCCTCACCAGTAGATGTAAGAGTGCCTGGCAAGGGCCCTGGGGCCTGGTGGGGGGCAGAGTGAGAAAGAGACTCAGTGGATAGGGCCAGCTGGCCTGCCCCATCCTCTGCTCTCTCCTCACCTGCCATCCCCCAGACCTCCCTGGCTGCTGGTCAGCAGCCCCACTCCCTGCCTCAGTCCCTCTTAGCTGGATTTCCAGGAGAGGAATAGTGTCTGAGAGGCCTTCCAGCCTCAGGTACCCTGATAGCATCTCTTCCCACAAGACCCTTAAGTCCTGTGGCCAGAGGCCTGTCACTGGGAGCCCAGCCCTCCTTCCTTAAGCCCAAGATGAGTGCCCATGCACAGAGCCCAGAGCCATTCCCATCCCTGCTGCTGTTCCAGAGCCCAACCCCCACCCCTCCACCCCCTGCCAAGGACCAGCACAGTTATGTCGCTGGTCAAATGGGCCACCTGCTAGTGGCCCTACAGCTCTCTCTATCCCCACTCAATGTTTGCAGCAGCCCTCCGCTGCTCTCCAGGGACCTCTCATACACTGGCCAGGAGGCTGCAGAACCTGCCTCGCCCCTCCCTCCCAGAGGTCCTATCCCCTGCCAAAACCACATGGGTGGCTGGGTGGGGCTCAGCTCAGCCCTTCCCTCTCCCTGCTGGTTGTTTTTTGTTTTGTTTTGTTTTTGTTTTTTTAGCTATCCCTATGTTGGAAGTAAAAAGTTGAAGCACTTTATTTTGGTTGTGTTTGATCACGTTCTGCTTGGAAGTGGGGACCCCTCACTGCGTCCACGTGTCTATGACCTGTGTGGAGTGTCACCGCGTGTACATACTGTAAATTATTTATTAATGGATAAATGCAAGTAAAGTTTGGGTTTTTTTGTTGTTGTTTTGTTAATTTTCTTTTAGATGAGATGTTAGAGTTTGTTTTCTAAACAGAGTTTGGTTCCTGGGGGGTTAAAGGGTGACTTTAGATGGTGGATGTTCCCCACAGCAAGTGTGTCAAGAGGGGTTGTGCTGTGCATGTGTGTGCCCAAGTGTTGGGGACAAGTGAGATTCAGTGACTTCACCATAACCACCACAGCCCTTGTGAAGATTAGTTTTCTTCCTTCCCTTGAGTAGTACAGGGAACTTGGTGAAGCCAGCCTCCCTTGCTCTGGGAACACTGGAGCAGACTGATGACCTCATGGTGAAGGGTTATGACTTATCTTCTAGGACAAGGTTAGGGGTCAGAGGAGCTGGCCTGAGTCCACGATAGCTCCATCCCAGCCAACTTGCCAGCCCAGAAGTCCCAGGCACAACTCAGCACAACTCAGCACTCCCACCCTCCCTGAGTGTTGCCTCCATACCCAGTCCAGGAACCCAGTGACATATTCCATTGGAACCACTGACCACACCAGTGTGCAGCCAGGTCCACTTCTGGCTCTGATTACATGTCACCACCACCCCCCCCCCAAAAAAAAAAAAAACAATCCAGGGGTTCGGTGCGGGGGTTT